TATGATCTAATATTTATAAGTAAATTAAAATAGAACAACCGTGAATTTTACATGCAATTAAAAAATTCATATTCTTTTTCAAACTTTTTGTTGATAAAATTATGCATACAATTAAACTTTCAACTATTAAAGTGAAATTTGACGGTTTTTTTTGTTTTTTTTGCTTTGCCAAATTTCAAAAGTTTGTCTTATTGTATCATTATGAATGTGTTTTATTTGGTGGTAAACAAAATGTGATGAAAGAAACATAATTAATGTAGTATTATTGTTAAATTATGTTTTTATTTATTAAAAAAAAAAAAGGAGAAGAAGAAAACAAAGGTTAGAGGTCTTTTTTTTTAAGTGACTTTTTAAATTTTTTAGATAAAATATGAGACAAAAAAATTGAAGTGTTTGGATTTTTTTTGGTTTTTTTTTAATAAAAAAATGTAAAAATTAAAGAGAATGAGAAAAAAACTTTAATTTTTTTGTATAATTTTTTAACTTTTTAATTTTTTAATAACTTTTTAACCTTTCGGTTGTTTAAGCCGATTGCCAAATAGGGCCTTAGTCATCCTTTCTCTTACATGCAGATTGATATCTATATTTATATTTTTAGCTTTCGAATTTTTTCAATAAAAAAAATTAGTACCTGCTCCTATAAGATTTTATTTTAAAAAATGTCAATTGTATTATTTACATTTTCCCTAGAATTATAGTTTTGGATTGGTCCATGGTAAGGGATGAAAATGAGAGGAAAAAAAGATTTCGACTCGATATAACAAATAAAATTATTTCAATAAATAAAAACAACTCAATTCAGAAACATATGTTCACCCTATTTGGTACAACTTATTTAAAGTAAAAGACGATAATCTATAATTAGAAATTAAAAATACCATTTTCCCAATTTTCGAATGATGATATTATTTACACTATTTTTTTATAAGTGTTATGCAAAATTAATGTGGGGTGATTTTATTGGAAATGGGTTCAAAAAGTTGTACTCAAGTTGGTTTGTGGGTCTATATTATCATAACAACAATATAATAATTAAAACACATCATATCATTTTAAATATTATTAATAATTAATATAAAAATAGAGAGGAATGGAAGCAAGGGTTAGCTATTACGTCGTTTTCACCCAAGAATAAAATAAAGGGCAGCAATCACCAAGATTATTTTTCTTTTTTAATTGATGCTTGTACGTATGATATATCCCATACCTTATGTAGTTGTTTCCCACAAGAAGAGAAATGATATGCACTTATAAAAATAAAATTCAACAATAATTTTTATGGTACATAAGTATGATGTATGAAAAATTTAGAATGAATTTTAGGTCAAGTTTGGGAAGACTAAAAAAGTGCACTTTTTGTCTTTTTTGATTAAAAAATTGAGGTTGAAAATATGGATGTTTGGGTTAACTTTTTGACTTTTTATTGAAAAATGTGTAATAAAAAATTGTAAAAATTGATTTGTTGGGAAAAATTTGAATTGGGAGTTGTGCAGCCGTAATTGTTGACTTTTGGTGAATAGTGTTAACTTTTTAACTTTTTGAGTAACTTTTTGGCTTTTTGACTTTTTTTAAAGTCCTCAAACTTGGCCTTAGTTTGAGCAAGAAATACAAAATAAATCACATAATGATTCACAAAAAAAATGCAGTGATTGACTAAAGTTAAATCCGATTATGTATTTTTTAACATTAGTGATTTAACTAAAGATATATGCTTAAAAATTTTGTCAAGAAATTTACCTAGAAGTAAAATGTGGTTGAGATACAACTCATAGTAGAGTCTATGCCTTAAACAAATTTAAGCCAATATTTCTGGATGAAATTCTGAAAGTAAAATTTCTCTTAATCTACAGATTCAAATACTTTTTTAAATACACAACATTGCTTAAGAAAGAAAGAAAACGTTTTTTCATGATTTTCCTTAGTATATTTTATCTTACGATCTAGTTGTTTGGACATAAAACATTTTCTATCGTTTGGTACAATGAAAAACAAAAATCAACAGAAAATATTTTTCACTTTTAAAACACAAAAAATAGTTTCCAAACCAAAAGTTTATTCATGCCACCACATTACCGCAAAAGTTTTATCACCTCCACTACCACCACGGCCACAACCACCATGACCACCTTCGTTGCCACCACGTCCACCGCCACTACCATCTCTACCTCATTACTACACTACTACCACAATCACCACACTACTACCACCACCACTGTTGCACCACTGCTGCCACCTCCACCCTAACACTGCCACTATCACCACCAGTAATGCAACTATTAATATATTAATTTCAAAAGCACAACCAAACATAATAAAATATTTTTCGTCGAAACAAACGGAACTTTATAAACTATTCGTTTTGATGTTATTAATGCTTTTACCCAATTTTATTTATTTATTTATTAATACGACCTAACTTTAACAAATTAATCAACTTAGTTGTTAAAAAAATAAAAAATAAAAAATAAAAATTTGTGAGCAATTTGGGCTTAGTCTGAATTTAATTTATTATACTCAGGTCGAATTTTAGCATAAAAGTTCAAATTGCAAGTTGAATTTAGATAACTCTTAACACAACTCGAATTTGACATGCTTGTGTGTTTATCCAAATTACACCTCTATTATCATCATGCTTGAAAACACATATAAGTCAGAAATGTTAGACAACAATCATATAATCACAACCATGTATACATCCGAAACATATAAAAGTCAAAACAATACGAGTGCTTTGAAACAGTGGGAGAAGAGGTTTTAGGAATTTCCATCCCAACCCCCAAACCCAAAAGCAAGCAGAGAGGGATTTGGATTCTCTGCCATACAATAATCTTGCAATGCTTTCTCCCACAAAATGACACATCAGCATGGCCATGATGATCCAAGGGCTCAGATTAAAGTAAACAGTAAACACCCGAAAACGACATCATTTTAGGATGAAAATTCAAATATAAAAAATCCAACCGGGTAAAGAGGGATGCAAATGATGAGTATCCCAATCTCCAAAACCCAAAATGTAAAAGTTGAATGTTACAAGAGTATCCACAATCCAAAAATCCTAAAAGATTGAAAGCATAATCTGAATTCTCAAGCAGATGATGACAGTAAAAATCATATAAAAAAATAATGTTGGGTGGCTTGAATTTTTTCGACTTGAATGATTTGAATGTCTTAAAACGACGTTATTTTAGATCTAAAATAACGTTATTTTAACATATTCAAACCATTTAAACCACAAAAATTCGACCCCCATCCATTTTTCATTAAAAAAAAAAAAAAAAAGCACCTGAAAAGTGAAAGTGCAAAATGTGCTAACAAATAACAAAGAAAGAAACACCCACGTGTGTGTAATAGTGTGTACGTATATTCATCAAAATATATTGATAACACTGACACCTGAAACAGTTCCACTGGAGACAAAATACAAAAAAAGAAAAAAGGTTCCCTAAGATGCTAGTCATTTTTTTTTAATGATAATTTTTATCAGTTAATTAATTTATCATCTGTCCCAAAATACGTGTTAGTATCTCCATTAGAGATGCTCTCTTAAAATAAAAAAAATAAAAAAAAAAAAGGGTAGAGAAAGAAATGGGATAGAGATATAATATAAAATTTACAGGAGAAAATTTTAAAATGACAGTACATCTCACAAAAATGAATAATTGAGGAATGCGTTTACCTGAGTGTTACCTCCGTGCTATTAGATAACTCGCTAGGCTATATGTAGTCTTCGAGCAATCGTTAACAAAATTATTTAATTAAAACATTGATTTCAAATGATTAAAGGGTGGATTTATCAAGTTTTATGCACTTTGTTATCAAATGAAGAAAAATTACTAACAGAATGATATATTTTTGATTTTTTTTTATTATTATTAATGATGTCTTATAGTTATAGGAGTTGCTTGGACATGAAAGGGAGAAAGAGAACCCGATTAAGGATGTTTTGGGAATTTTATTTTTGATCATAGAAAATTAGTGGTGAGTTGTTAAACCAACATATTGAGGGAGTTGAATTCTTACCCTCTCTTGCAAATACATAAAGTCTTGCCTCTTAGAATTTTTAAGAGTGGAATTCAAGACCTCTCTTTAAGGCCTCGTTTGTTTCCGGTTATAGCAGTTCGAAGTAGATTGTTAATGACGAATACTTCACTCCAAAAACAAACACAATTTTACTTAATTTCGTCATTATCAATTCCCTCACTATTAATCATTCCATTCTACTTCTGAATATAAACAGACCCTAAAAGAGATTTGGTATCCAATAGGCTAACCACACACGCTAAAACCCTTTAGTTACGATGTTTTGGGATTTAAATTAAAGGAATAATTTAATGACTAAAAATAAGTTTATAAAGAAATTAATTTGGTTGATACATTCCTATCTTTTTAACTTTTCTAATGACTTTTGAAAATGTTCAAAGTTTATGTTGGCAAAAATAAGTTTAGTTAATGAGTTAAAACATTTTCAACAAAAAAAATAAGATTCTTTAGTTAAGTAACTCACTTTCTAGTCACAAATTAAAAAAAAAAAAAAAGACTTACCATATAGGGTAACTTCTGAAATTAGATCTATAAAGAATGAGACCCCAGAGAACACAAGTCTAATTGTAAAAACTTTGCATGAGGCGTGCTGGATTGAGATTCTCTCTATTACATAATTATGAAAAGAGAAAATCTGAATTTCATCTCATCCAATAAAATAATAATGTTTTGTTATTATTATTATTTTAAATAAATATAAAAAATAATTACAATCTTTAAAGTAATTTTTTGATAATGGTATAGATCCTCCATTATATTATAATGGAGAGGATGGCATTCCAAATGTTCTTGATGTCATGATTCATGATATATAGTAAAAATTAATATAGGTGGTTTGAAGAAGAAGATGCTGCTGTAGCACTATCAATAGTAGCAGCAGTAGTAGTGGAGGCATATGGTGTCCAGTGAATTTCTTGAAAATAAATAAATAAAAATAAAAATGAAAGAAAGATAGCTCGAGACTTTCAAACTTTTCTTCTCTCCATCTCAAATCTGTACTCACATGATCAGCCATAGTAAAATGACCTTCATAATCAATGGTGAAAATCCTTTTGAGAGAGAGAGAGCGAGAGATCGCTCTAAGTTCTATTCTATCTAGATTTGTTCATGGGTCGATCTAGTCGTAAGAGAATCGCCAGTTATATAACTCGTATTTACAACTAAAAAAAATACATACTATTTATAATTAAACTTGAAGAAATAGTGAAAAATTAGTGGAAAAAACTATACTGTTTCAGTTGTAGGAGGAACAACATCACTACTACCTTCCCCACCACCACCACCACCACTACCGCCGCCGCCGGCGGCCACTTGAGTAGCAGTCGTAGTTGCTTCCAACACCACAGTCGCCGCCGTAGTGGGTCTTTTCCGCTTCTTCTTCTCATAAGGGACCCCTCGGGCCTTGGCTTGACCTTCCTTAACTTCTCTTAGATAAATCCTAACAGCTCTGGCTCCAAAAGGGTTCGACTCGGGCCGACCACCATTCTCTTCGTAGGCGGCTCGGAGCCTCCCGATGAGAGCGTCCAGGCTGCCCCACGCCTGCTTCAGCGGGCAGGCGCACGCCGCCGGAGGGTTAGGGTGCCCGAAGTAAGGGCACCCCGTCACGTGCACCTTCGTCTTCCCGAACTGGTCCAGGTACTTCAAAAACTCGATCACGTGTGCGCCGCTGCAATGAGCTAGCGTCAACGGCGGCTTGTGGTTTTTCAGGTACTGCAAGAACGTGTTCCAGTCGCGTCGCTTTTGTGACTCGTACCGACTCGGCGGAGGAGGCTGCGCCGCCGCCGTTGACGCACCTTCCTCCGATCGTCCTCCTCCTACGGTTGCAGACGATGGACCTTCGCCTCCGCTCGGGTCGGATGGTCCGGCTCCGGATGATGAATCCATCAATCAGAGTTGTCTATTCAAATCTTTGGACAACCTGGTTTTCTCAATTTTGGAACTCGATCTCTTCCTTGCTCACACCTAATCGAATTCGTTTCTGTTTTTTCTTTTTGGGGGTCTATTATTTGAGAGTTTTTTTTTTTTTAGTTCGCGAGACGGAGGGTGTTTTGCGAGAGACAGAGAGAGAGAGTTGATAGGACGTGAAAAGGAAGGAAATGTGTACAAGGGATGAATGAGGAAGGACTGACTCTCTCTCTCTCTCTCTCTGGTACTGACGACTGTAGGAGAGAAAGTGCTAGAGTGAGAGGATTGGCCTTAAGATATCGCTATCTAAATACCGCCATGTGCTCCGATAAGATTATGATGATTGATAAAAGAAATGGCAAATTACATTATACTTTTTTTGAGATTCGGTTAAATTACCGATATTTTTTTAAAGTTTTGAAAATTATATTTTGTCTTTTAAGGTTTATATTTTTATAATAATTTATTTTTTGAGATTTAAATTTTATAATAAATTATCCCTTAATTTGTTATGTAAATATAACATTCATGGAAGAATTTATAATTTCTCAAAACTCAAGAGAGTATTTGTAATTTAACTAAATCTCGAAGGGTATATGTAATCTGCTCTAAAGAAATTGGTCTATAAATTTGTATTAAATAATTAAAAAATAAATGAATTACATTAATAATTTTTATAATTTAAATACATGTTACTTTAATTTTTAATTTTTTAATTATGATATATTTGATTATAAATTTCAAATCTTGTCTTAAATAAAAATAATTAAAAATATCATTACTTAATTTCAAGGATAAAATTATTAATCTGATAAAACATAAATTAATTTGATAAAAATAAATATCAAAAAATATTTTTAAAATTTAAAAAATATTTTCTACCCACCACAGATAAAATTATGTAAAATTAATAAATATTTTAAACATTTATTTATTTATTTTATTAAATTAATTTTTATTATGTGTTTAGATGATGATGATCATATAATGGATGGTTATTGAAACTAAATGGATCATCATTCCTCAAAATGGGATTTAAAGGTAAATTTTCCTTAATATTTCTTATAGAAAATAAAGTTAAGGTAACAAAATATGAGCATGCTTGATTGATAGGATTAGAACATGGAATTGAGATTATCAATAATCTTGTGTTTGTTTTGAAATTTTATTTCAGAATTATTAATCCAATGGATAATTAATCCAACAAATTTGTAAGATTATTAGTAATAGGGTAGGGGTGGGTGAGATTATATATCCTGAGTTGGGAAATAAAATAAAAAAACTCTTTTACCCTTGACTAAAAATAAAACACTTATTATTTTTATATAATTTTATATTTTAGAAGGCTAGAAATAATTTTTAAAAATTTAAAAATATTTTTTTATATTTATTTTTGTCAAATTAATTTATATTTTATCAAATTTACTATTTTATCCTTAAAATTGAACAATTATATCTTCAATTATTCTTATTTGGAACAAAATTTAAAATTTAAAGTTAAAAAAAGTCAAGAATTAAAGTGACACAAAGTCTAAATTATATAGACCATTAATATAATTTGTTCTTAAAAAATTTGAAAAATATAATAAATTATAATTAAGGAGGAATATTGTACGCCCTCACCACAACTAATAATTTTTCGAGTGAGTGAGTATCGATTGGAAAAGAAAATCTAAGAGAGAGGGAATAGTAGTAATATTCACGTGGTGGCCCCTTTGGATGCGATATGTTTACTATTGACCCCGGCGGCCCCTCCACTCCGTCCACACTCTGTCGACATGTGTATATTGTATAGTGGATACATAATCAACCAATTATTTGACACTTTTAGGTGCTGTTTGGTAACACTTACGTTTTCAGTTTTCTGTTTATATTTATAAAAATTTAAAAAACTCAAATAAAAACTTATTTGGTAAAATTTTTGGTTTATAAATCAGTGGTGTCAGTTTATAAATTTGGCCAAAAAATGAAAACACAAAAAATGTGTTTTCATTTTGAGTTTTCAATTTTTTTTTTTTTTTACCACCCAACACTAGCCACCACCCGCCACCATTTTCCA